ATGTTCAGTGTGCGAAGCACCAACTAGAGTAATAGCTGTTCACAGTCAATCCATGGCAATACCCGAGTGTCCAGGTGGTTGGGAAGAAATCTGGGTTGGATACAGTTTCCTCATGGTAAGATCAATTGTCTTATATTAATTTCAATATATAGATAAGAATTCAATAAATGTAAAAAATGTATAATAGTTAAGTGAATATTGAAGATATTGTCAGTTAGTTTGATATAATTTTATAATTTAAAAATTACAGCACAGAGATGCAGGTGCGGATGGTGGTGGTCAGTCTCTAGTCTCGCCCGGATCCTGCTTAGAAGAATTCCGCGTCAGACCGTTTATTGAATGTCGTGGCCTTGGTAGTTGTAATTATTTCGCTACGGCGACATCGTACTGGTTAGCGACCATTCATGACGACGAAATGTTCCGTAAACCGCTGCAACAGACGCTCAAAGCCGATCATACGTCCCGAGTGAGTCGCTGCGCCGTGTGCCTTCGCCGAAGGGTCACCGAGGTTTTAAAGCCTTTCACGTCCAACAACGAGCGAGCCCCCAATAATTGGGGTGTTGCTCCACCGGCACCACCACCTCGTAATCTACCGCCCGACTACGAGTCTTCCAGGATACCGCCTAATCCATGGGCTACTCATACACGAGGAAGATATTCCTCGAACAGACGTGTACCCCATCACCAACGCAGGAGGGGTCGCGTACGCGGTAGGCACTGGGAATCGGCAGAGTCTTTAAACAACGTGTAGGCGCAGCATAAATCGCACATATATCCAGCGGCATCAGTGACGTGCAAAGGCCATAGCAAGCCTATGTATATAAAGAAGCAAGAAAAACTATTTTATTCTATTAGTTAAGTTATATCGTCTGGGTGTCTTCGTTCGTAGACCTTGCATCGAGTAGAAAATGTGGACGAACGTTCAAGAACATAAAGACTCGAGATTATATAAACAACATGCAGATAGTTCAGGTTTATTTAAGCTGTTTGGAAAAGAAATTATATGAATAAACTCCTTTTCAAGTCACAGAGCATTGAAATTGAAGTATTAGATATGAAACGTAACTTTGATAAATTTCTCGATTTATCAGTACATTTCTACCCCGGAAGTCTCAACATGAAAGAAGAGTTGCTTGTCAAAGTGGCTGCTATTGAATTAAGACCTGGATTACTGCTTATCTAAAATCCTCATCCAGCACCCTTCTGTCGCTCTTGGGAACTCATCGCTATATTCGTTCCCACCCTATGCAGGTCTACGACCATTCTCCCGGCCATCTCTTCCTGCGGGCACGATAAAAAGCGCCGCCGGCTATCGTAAAGCCATATAACTGCCTTATGCCAAATAGAAAAAGAATCTGTCGCGCCCGGCTATCGCGAAACTGCCACTAACGTCGCGTTTGCCGATGCGATTTACGGGAGATTACACTACGATAACTAAATTAACGTTATGTATATTGTATTGCTATCGTAACTATTATCTATGTATTTCGCATTGAATAAAGATCTTTTTGTATAAGCTAATTGACGTTTTTCCGATTATCTTCCTTCCACTTATCTCGAATTATAAATTTCATACAACGTAAGAGAATAAATAATAATAAATTAAAAAACGCTGTAGTTAGTAGTTAATTCAGTAGTTAATTAGCTTACTTTTCTGTTTGAAAAGAACAGCAAAACAATTGAGTTTGATCGTTCTATCTACAGTATTTTATATTTTACAATTTCTCGTCACCATTTACAAGATAAAACGCAAAAGGAAGTTGTTTAGAAGATATATAACATATTGTTTCTTTAAATAAATTTCAATTTAAACAAAATTATAGTCGTGTAACTTTGTCGTGAAAATTTTGTCTGCTTGATGAGTGCAGCAAAAAAGTTTCATTGTTCCATCGGTAGTATTTTATTTGACAATTTATTTCTCGTTATTGTCTACAAAATAAAAACGCAGAAAGAAATTTGCTTGGAAGATATAAAACATATTGTTTTCCTTAAATAAATAAATTTTAATTTAAATAAAATCAATTCCTGTTTTTCGATGAATAAAAAATAAGAGTATATCTTAATTTTAGACTACATCTAAAAATAATATCACGCAAAGCTCTTGAGCGAAGGCAGAAACTGGAAGCGATATAAACGAGGAGAAGAAGGGAGAATGCCAGGAGAGGGATACTTTACGTGTTCGCGGAACGCTTAAAAGAATCAACTGAAATGAAGCAAGAACACTGAAATCATTTGACAGTTTAATAAAAGGCGAACGGGCCTTTTCCAGGACACGCGAAGTTCACATACAAGCTCGTCGTACGAAATAAACGTACACGGTGAGAGATCGATATTATATTTATATTTATAAAATTATTCATCATTAGAAAGCACATATGATCTATCTATATGACGTAATTTGCTACGCACACCCGCGTACGAGCGTGCCTACGAACAACGCACGCCTCCACACGCACACACGCATACACACTGCACGCCTAAACGCCACGACGTTTCCATCTCGCACCCTGGCATAAGCATGCACACGCGCGGACATACACAAACATGTACGTGCGTACTAATATCTCTCTCTCTCTCTCTCTCTCTCTCTCTCTCTCTCTCTCTCTCTCTCTCTCTCTCTCCCCTCTCTCTATCGCTCTCTTTCATTCTCTCTCTCGTACGCGTAATATACGTATCCGCGTTCACAGGCAAGTACATGCCTATGTATGTACGTGTACATATTCAGAGTACCTCACGTTGTGTTTTTCTTTTTTTTTTCTTTTTTTTTTTTATGGAGATTACAACTTTGTAACTGCTTTCAATTGGAAGAAAAAGCAACAGGGGACGAGCAGACCAAGTATTAATGTCATCACAGTATCAACATCATCCTCATTCGTTATCATCAATTGTCTTATCGTCATCGTCGTTATCATCACCGTTGTCGTTATACTTTACTTCCTCGCGACACGGACAAAAAAATTTCGTGTTTCGTATTATAGAAAATAAAAAGAAACAACAATAATACGTATAAATATCTATAAATTTTTTTAGGTAAAACACGCAACAAACAAATCCGAATCCGTTGCTTTTCATTATGTACCTCAAGCGATGTACGGCTCAAACACTAAACGATATAAGTTAATTTCCATTAAATAATTCAAAAAAACTTATAAAACGCGAATCCCTTTTCCCTTCGATAAAAAAACTAATTTCGAAATTTAAAAAAACACAAGACGGACGCATAATAATATAAATATAATAATACACGCCAAATAAACACTAGAATTGCCACGTCCGCGTCCGTCAAAATCACATTTGTAAATCACGGTCAAAACGAAATGGAAAAGAGAGACGATTTTCTTACGCGAATCTTTAATTTTACAATTAAAACAAAATTTCGTCGATGCTAAAGAAAACTCGCTGACGTTCTATACTCTCATACCAAGAACCCATCATTACCATCACAAGCATTCAAAACCTCTAGTAGCGATTTCTTCCAACTTTTAATAAGTGGTGAACTTCCTGGAAAAATAAGACACTTGCGTGAGATTTCTTTCATATGTATGTGTACACGCGTATACACACACACGCGCGCACGCATAGCATCGTGTGCATATACACGTGTAGGTGTAATTAGATTTCCTCTTTTCTCATTTATATAACAACAGATATCATTTAGAAGTAATTTAGTGTGCATCTAAGACCCAAAAGAGAATCATTACCGAGCTATGCAAAATAGAAGATCGATTTCCCTCTTTTTCTTTCTTTCTCCATCTCGCATGTATAGATATATAAATATACGTCAATTTATATATCGATTATACATAAATAATGTCCGCATCTATTATTTATATATAACGCGTACATAAACCCACTATACATATATATACATATACATTTATACAATATATTTATATTTATATTTATATAAAGGTACTCTTACTATTGAATAGAAATATGAATATTCCATGTGTTCAATAATATCAATATTGATATATATAATAATAAAATAATATAATTATTCTTATATTATAATAATATAGCAATTGCAACAAGAATATTGGTAATAGTGATAATAATAATGTCGATGATATAATAATAATAATAATATTAATAA